AAAAAAAAAAAAACCAAACCCCCCCCCCCAAAAAAAAACAAACAAAAAACAAACAAACCAAAAAACAGAGTAGAGAAAGTCAAGCATTTTCAGACAGTGAGATAAAGTGCTCAGGGGCTTAGGCTTCCTTAACCTCCCCACCCCCCAAAACACCCCACACATGTACTTTAGAAAAGATACCCAGGACAGGGTCTGGGGCTTTCTGCTGGGGAGTCCACCGTGGGCCCAGCACAGCTTGGGACCTTAGGAGGGAGCACACATCAGGCCACACTGTCCTCAGGGAGATCACAGTCTTCTGAGGGACACAGCTGGAAAATTAAGGTCACATGTGACCGTCAGGAACAGGTGACAGCTGCGTGGGCTGGGACGGTAGAGGCCAGCTCACGAAGGGTCAGGTGATGGCCTGGAAGACGGGAGGGCATGTTGACAGGGGATCTGAGCAGGATAAGCAGCTGCAGGAAACATAGGGGGCAGGTGGGCAAGGTCGGCGTGGGGAGAGGGAAGGGGCCCACTTAGCCAGAGAGGGAAAAATACTATTTGGGGCCGTGGGGGCCGTCTGGGTATGGCTGGGCCCCACTGTAGAGAGCTTGAAATGCCAGGCTGGGGGTTAGGCTTCTGTGAAAGAGGTAGCACGTGTGGTGAGGAGCCGGCTGGACCACTGCACGGAAACACGGGCTGGCCAGGCTGCTCCAGGGAGGAGATGACACAGTGTGTTGGTTAAGGGCATGCCCCGCCCCCCCGCCCACCATAACATCCGGGCTCTGCCACTTACCAGCTGTGCGACCACAGCAAATGGATTGACTTCAAGCCTCAGTGTCCCCACATGCCTGACAGGGTGACGGCCTCACCGTCACGACGCACATAAAGGTCTCAGCCCGGTGCCTGCCACATGGTGTCCATGTGAACCTCCAGCCAGGACTTGCTGCCCCTCCCACACAGGGCAGTGCTCCGGGGAACCCCCCCGGCCATCCTCTGAGAGGGGAATGATCCCTGAAGGGATGAGATGGCATCCA